AATAAAGTGGATAGTGACGAAAGAAGATGGCCCACCTTGAACTCTGACCTCCAGCTACACATGAATATACCACAACACACACACACACACACACACACACACACACAATTAAAATTCTTTCAAATCTGGGCATTTCTATATCCATTGAGATGGCTTAGCCAGTAAAGGCATTTGCCACCAAGCCTGACAACCTGAGTTTGATCCCTGGGACCCCCATGGTAGAAGGAGAGCACTGACTGCTGCAAGTTGTCCTCTGACCTTACACACACACACACACACACACACACACACACACTCTGTGGCATGCCTACTCCCTCCCGCACACATATATGAAATAAATGTAACAAAATAAGCAAAATCTGCATATTTCTAAAGCTGGTCTGAATATATTGCTGTGAGTAGTTAATTGTATTGGTGCAGCGAGTGTACAATTACAGTATTCAGAACGCTGGTTTCTTTTGGGGAAAGGCTGGGGCCTCTGCTTCTCTCTGCAAACTCAAACTGCCTTCCAGGCTGCACTATTGCTTAAGGCTGTGCCGCAATCCAGAGCTCTCAGGAGTGGGAAGTCCAGAGTCCTCCCTGCTTCTGGGAACAGCCCCCCATCCCCCTCCCAGCACAGCTTCCACGGGCCGTCCTCATGAGAGTGGGTCAGGCTCACCCAAGGATTTCACAAATGCCTGGCCTGTTCCCAGCACAGCTGGGAGGGCTCAGTGCTGCAGAAGGAGCACCATCCTCCTCCGTCGCCCCTACTGTCCTTGGGCTCAGGGCCTCTGGGGCTGGAGCCTGGGGACCAGGAAGGGCAGCGCTTGTCCAGGCTTGCTGCAGCTGTGGTAAACGCCAGGCCTTCCCTCCCTCACTGCCTCACTTCCCAGCTCCTGCTTAGTCAAGGTACTAGGAGGAAATTCCCTTTCCTGGAAGAGTGCAGACCCAGCCGTGCCTTTCCCAAAGGCAGTAGCAGGGGGTCTCTGAGTTACTGGAGAGGAACCTGGTCTTCAAATTCAAGGTCTCCCTTCTGGGGGTCTCTGAGTTACTGGAGAGGGATTCGGTGTTCAAATTCCCTTCTGGCCTCTGATTCACAAGGGCTGCAGTCAGAATCCAGGAATCAGCAATTTTATCCACACTCCTGGGGCCATAGTTGGTTCCCTGGAGACTCATAGATGGCTTTCAGAAGGCCTGGGGGACAGGGTGAGGGACTCTGGGCAGACTGAAAAGAGGTAGAAGGGAGGAGCCCTGGATTCTAGCAGCGGCCTCCTGGTCTTTGCCCCCTAATGACCCTGGAAGGATTTTCCTTACATTTAGAGCCTCAGTTTTTTGTCTCCACATGGATGTGTTCTGATCCAAAGTCATGGATCTATAATGAAAACATGGTTTGATGGCCCAAAAGTCCTTATTTATTTAATTTACACATTTACTAATGTATTATGTGCGTACTTCCATTCTGGGGAGCTAAACCCCAGCAGGCCTTGTCTTGTTGAACTTTAAATCCCCCGGACCTAGAACATTCCCTGACACACAGGATGTGTTGGGTAGATATCTGCTGAGTGGACGAATGAGTGAATGGCAAAAAGAGTTGGGGTGGGGGGTGGATAGCGGGGCTCCGGGAGAGGATCCCGGGATGCAGCCACAGGACCAGACCCATTTCCCAGCCTTAGCCCGGATGGGGTTCTCAACTCCTCCAGGACCAGAAAACAGGACCCATCCGTTGCGGGGAGAAGAGTCAGGGCTGAGTAGCCTCCTGGAGGGGGTCCGTGACCCCCGGTGACCAATGACAGCCTCCCTCCCGCCTCCACCCAGGGAGGTGCGCCTGGCGGCCTCAGGGCTGAGTTTCCTGGCACTCGGCTGAGAATAAACAGCGCCCTGCGCCTGTAATCCCGTTGCCTCGGCGACGGCGCTCGGCGGGCAGGGGCGTGTCCTCCGAGGTGGACGGGGCGGGGCCTGGGTTCCCCTGCGCACGCGCAGCGGGGAGGGGGCGCGGCCCGGGGGGTGCCGCCCCCCGCCTTGCGCGCGGACATTCTTCGCATAGCTGGTCCAGGGCTCCCGCGGTGTCCGGGAAGTGACTCTTCCTAGCAGAGGGTGGCCGCGGAGCTGCGCGCAGACTCGCCCTCCCCGCGCTCGCCCAAACCCGAGGAGGGCGAGGAGGGGCGCGGAAAGGGGCTGTGCCCACCCTGGGCCTCAGTTGTCCCTCCGCATCCCCGTGCACCATGTCCCCCCCGCATCCCCGTGCACCTTGTTCCCCTGCATCCCTGTGCACCTTGTCCCCCCCAACCCTGCGCTCCTGGGGGCTGAGGCCTTCCTCCCCGCCTCACTCCTCAATGACTGCCCTCCCCTCACTTCTCCCCGGTCCCCCTGCGGTGCCTCCTTCCTAATTGCCTTACTCTTTCTTTACCCTGGGACACGTCGTGCGAGGCTTAGTTCCCATCCGAGGCTCCCTGCCGTTGGCCTCCCTCCCTCCTTCCCCACCAGCAGACCTTGGATTTCCCATTCCTGGCTCTAAGTCATCGGGAGGCCTGCCCAAAACAACACCAGAGGAAGGAGAATGGGGCCTCTCTGGTGGATTATTGCAGTCCTAGAAGCAGAGAGATAGAGCACAGGACCAGAGAGCAGCTGTCTCCCCAACTTCATGCTGGACCAGGGGTACCTGCTCAAACCACTTGGAATTGCAGCATTCCCTACAAGACTTCGTGAACCAAGAGCACCCTTCCTCTGGCAGTCAGGATTCAGGTCCCCCCACTAAGTCTTTTGAAGAGGGAGAGTCTTCTTCAGAAAGGACTGAGTGTCAGAAGGACTTGTGTAACAGGGGGAAGGAGAAAGGAAGGGGCTGCTGGCCAGAGAGAGATGATGGAGACTTGCACAGTGTGGCTACTAGCTCACGGGGTGTGAGTGTAACTTGTTTCCCTTCTCTGGGCCTTATTTTCCTAGTGTGTGCCAATCTCCAGGCTTAGACCAATCTGTGGCCTGAGGTGGACACAGAAGGCTGGGATGAGGTGGGCCACCGGCTACACGTAGGGAAATGAGTCACGTATCTTCTCTGATCTGCGTCCCCAAACCAGGCTCAGCCTGCAGGAGGTAGCCAGGAAAGAGATGGCTACGGTCTTTCTCTTGTGGCCTAGGAACCTGAACACCTGGCCAAATAGCCACTTCCTGGACCAAGGAAAGGGACCAGCTGCACTCCAGGTTTCTCTGGTTCCATGGAGAAGTGGAGCTCTGCAGCTAGTGACAGACAGGTGGAGGCCATCCATTAGGATTCAGGACAAGGAAGGTTGTGTCCGTCCCCTTCCCGCGCCCGTCCCCAACCTCCCCAACCGCCCCCCCCCCCCAAGGTTTCTCCAGTTCCATGGAGAAGTGGAGCTCTGCAGCTAGTGACAGGTGGAGGCCATCCATTAGGATTCAGGACAAAGAAGGTTGTGTCGTCCCCTTCCCGCGCCCGTCCCCAACCTCCCTAACCGCCCCCCCCTCCAAGCTCTTACTCCCAGGGAACACTAGGGGACTCTGGGACGAATATGGCCCTGCCTGAGTCTATCCCAGTACAGTTCCATGGAGAAGTGGAGCTCTGCAGCTAGTGACAGGTGGAGGCCATCCATTAGGATTCAGGACAAAGAAGGTTGTGTCGTCCCCTTCCCGCGCCCGTCCCCAACCTCCCTAACCGCCCCCCCCTCCAAGCTCTTACTCCCAGGGAACACTAGGGGACTCTGGGACGAATATGGCCCTGCCTGAGTCTATCCCAGTACCAAAGCTGACGGTCCCTCTGGTGTGGATCCTGTGCCCAGATCAACCCCTTCTCATCACTTTAGATTGTCTCCCCCAAAGTCCAGGAAAAGGGAAAGAAAAGCCACTTTGTCCTGCATCTCTGTTCTCCCTGTTGTCTTTTGGACACTGACTCCTGGAGCAGCAGTTTAAGGGGTGCTGGGGGACCAGAGGAGGCTCTGACACCTGAAATCAAATAAGCAGCCCTGGGCCCCTAACCTGGGGATCACACTCATCTCAAAGCTGTTCAGGTCCCAGATAGGAAACGTGAGAGGAAAATATCACACAGGTGTTTTTTCTTTCGCAGAACCCTTGCGCTAAACCTTGTGTGTCTGAGGGGGCACTAACCACTTGGTTTTCAGGCGGCAACTGTGGGCATACATGTAAATGTATAGGAAGGTGGAGAGAAACCCAATGCGTCTCAGTCCAAATGCTTTGCCCGTCCTACTTTCCCAGGTGCTATGTCCCTGAGCAGGTTGCTTAACATCCCTGCACCTGAGTCTCTGCCTCAAGTCAATGGACAAATATTTACGGAACACCTCTCTAGGCACCAGAAATGACTAGTCCAGGTCCTGCTGGCACTGAAATGTGTCTTGTAGGGGTGCCTGGGGCAGTCATCTCAGGTAGCCTCCTGAGTGTACAGATATGGGAGGCTAAAAATGAATAGACAACTGATTTTTCTGGCTGGTTGTCTCTGGCTCAGGTTGGGCCCCTAAGAATGTAAGGAAAGATGGAGGTATGGGGAGCTGTGGCCAGAAAGCCCTAACCACCTGTCCCAGGGCCCCACCTGCGAGCTAGGCTTGCATCAGGATCAAACTCCACCCCCCTTAAGGTTGCCGCTTCTGTCTCTGACGGCTGTGCTGAGGTCACGGGTCACCATCAGGACCCCGAATTTGGGCTTTCTCGGAACACCTCCCCAAGCGCCTCTAATAGCTTGGAGCCTCTAACAGCTTTGACCACAGCTCAGCCAGCTCTCAGCAAGCCCTTTGAAGCCAGCATTTCCTTCGTAAACTAGCTTTGCATATTCTGGTCAGAGCTGAATCAGACTAGCAGGAATTACCCCTCAGTAACAGTCTAAGTGGCTGCCATAGCTTGCCAGTGACACACAGGGGCTGGAGGGCTCCCACTGATGTGTTCCACCTGAGGCAGGTCCTGGGGAGGGAACCCAAGAGGTAGACCCAGCCCCTCCCCTCATATCAGTGGAAGTGAAATCAGAGCAAAGGAGAAGGGCAAGAAGACTCAAGTCATGTTCTTTCATTAAAAAATAGCGCTCTTTATTATAAATTACTGAAATGTTTCTTTTCTGAGTATAAATATAAATATGTGCAAAGTCTGACTTGGACTGGGATTTGGTTGAGTTCTTCAAGCATCTCCAAACAGCCTAGAAGGCCTGAGTGGGGGTGGGGGGTGGGGCAAGACTGGAGGTGGGATCTTTATAAAAGACAGAGTGACTGAGGCAGATTGTAAACATTATTCAAAAAACAAATAAAGAGAGGAAAAAAAACCAAAACAAAACCCACCACCCCAACACACAGCTGCCCCACCTAGCCGGATACCTGACAGAAAACTGCTGTTTCTCCCCCAAAAACAAGAACAGCTTCAGGTAATTAATTACTCTGTTGCTGCATTCCAGTGAGCTGTCAATCAGTGCTATGGAGGGGCAGGCAAAGGCTTCTCCATCCCTTCCTGCTTCCCCCCAGGCAGGGAGGAAGGGCTATGCAGGGCGACTGCCTGGCCTGTAGGACCCGCTGGCTCTGCTGGCCACAAGGTGCCTAGGACTGGCCAACATCATCTTCCCACTGCTCACTGAGGAGGCCTGAGTCTCCACCCTGCACCCACTTCCCCTGGCTTGTGATCAGCTGGGTGAATCCCTCAACTCTTCTGCCTGTTGGCTGTGTTTGGCTCCTGGTGTGCCGACCCCTATCCACTGGACAGGGAACATTTAAGGCAAGTCTCCAAGCCAGACAGAGGAGGCACACAGCAGAAGCCCTCATCTTCTCTAGGGAACCTGAGGTCCAAGATCGCTCATCTGCCACCTCCAGTGCTGGAAAAGGAGGCCAACTGACCAGCTCCATCCATCTCCTTTCCAAATGCCACTTCTTCCTTAAAAGGGGGAGGGCTCTGGGGCACCAGCGGACTTGGGGACGTGGGTTTCATTGGCTCCCCAAGGGAGAGGAGCGGGACACCAGGATGGCTGTCTTCAGGTCACCCCTTCCCTCTCTCCCTAGACACAGGAATGAAGCATGCAGTCCCCATGCCTCACCTAGGCTGGGCAGTAGGAGTGGCCATTTCTTTGGCCAGCTTGCAGCCTTTCACACTCACACCCTCTTCTCCTCCGTCTTTTCCCCCAGGCCTGGCCTCTGCCTGCTCAGGATCAAACCAAATCAAAGCGCAAACAAGTTCCTCGTTGGAAAGTGTGACGATTCCCCTGTGGCTCTTGGTAGTGTCCACCTCCCTTGGGAAGCAGAGGGGCGCAGAGGAAGGGAAGAGGAGAATCCACTTGCCAATGCCATTGTCCCATCAGGCCAGGTGGAGCTGGGGTTGGAGAGGCAGGTGGCACTCCATCCCTCAAACACATTCCAGGTCCTGCCTGCCCCACTCTGCAGAGGGGAGGGCCTGAGGAGGAAGAGGTCTGGCTGCCCCTGGCTCACCCAGAGCTGCCGGACCATTGGGGCTGGATTTTTGTGCTTGTGCCATGTGCCACGGAGAGGGAACCCAGGCTCCTCTCGCATTCCTGTCCCTTGCTCTTTAAAGCGGGGCATCATACTGGTCCAGGAACTCCCGAATGGGTCCGGGCAGCTGAGTGACTTTCTCATAGGAGTCCAGGTGGCCGTTGACAGTCTTCCGACAGAGATGCTGAAGGGTGGCCACGTTGGAGGAGAGGGGCCGGCTCAATACCAGGGGAATCTTCTCGCCCCCAGAATAGATGTAGTAAGCTCTCCTAGGGGTACCCCCAGGGAGTGACTGGGCAGGTTGCTGCTCCGGCACCTCGGAAGAGGGTGAGGAGGAGGGTTCCGTCGATGGTAAAGAGAAGGAGGCGGCGCCGGGGGGAGGCATGTAGTGATGCACCAGCTTGAGTACGCAATCGAAGCGGGGCACCGGCTGCGTGCTCCGGGGGTCACTCTGGAGCGAGAAGCTGCCCCCCTCGCACTGGATGCGCAGGTTCTTGGTCCCCGACTGGGTCTTGACACTGAGTGTGAAGAAGTGGCGCTGGTCCGAGCTGTCGCGGATGAGGAAGGTGCCCGCTGGCTCGGCGCTAAGCAGCAGGTTGGCCTCGCCGCCGGTCACAGCGCTCCAGTAGAATCCGCTCTCCTGCAGCTTGCGTACTGCGTTCACCACCAGCTGGTACTCGCTCTTGGAGCTGAAGGTCTTGAGGCGCAGGCTGGTGTCCAGGGGACGGTTCATCCCGGCGGCGGGAAACTTGCTGTGGGTGACCATGGCGCACGGAGCCAGCGTGGATCTGCGCGGCGGCGGCTGCAGCTGCTTCGAGGCCTCCGCACAGCGGCCGCTACCGCATCCCGGGAGGCTGGGGAGAGGAAAGCGCAAGCCTCGTGAGTGCCCGGAACCTTCCAGCGCGCACGGCCCGGCCCGGCTCCCCAGCCTCCCCAGCGTCCCGGGCACTCCTTGCCGGCCGAAGGCCGTGCCTGGGACCCAACAACCTCCCGGAGCTCCCCCCAGCCTCTGTCCCGGCCGGCAGAGCGGCCCCATCCCCAGCGCGCACTGGGAGGATGCCGAGTGAGAAAACTCGAGCGTGGAAGTTGGGTGTGCAAGAGCACCGCCGGGGTGGGGAGCGAGAGAACCGCCGAGACGCTCTGGGCGCCGCTCAGTCCGGTGACCCCGGCCGGCGAGGACCAGAAGGGGGGAACAAACCGGAGGTATGGGGGGCAGGGGAGTGGAGAGGCCCGAGGGCCCCAGCCAGAGTATTCCGGGAACCTGGGATCTCCGGCTCCCATCCGCTCTGCCCCCTACCTCGTCCCCCTCCCTGCCGGGAATGACCCGGGAAGGGGAGGAGAAACCGGGAAAAGCTCGCGAGCTGGATCCAGGCTCCCACCCTTCCCCACGCCGCGCCCCTCCTTCCTACCTGGTCCCGAACTGAAGTCTCCGGCCTCCGGGCTGCGCCTCCTACGGTCCCCAAGGCGAGGCGGCGGCGCGGCGGCCAGCGGTGGCCCGCGCTGCGCCCAGATGTTGGCGGTCGTGAAGTCCACAAAGGCGCTCTCCGGCGCGCGTCCCTCCGGCTTCGCTGGCCCGGGGCGGATCGGGCGCACCCCGGGCAAAGGACAGAGGCGAGGGGCCGCGGCGGGGAGCGGGGCCCGGCAGGCGGCGTGGG